TAGCTCTCTGTGTGGTGGTCTACAGCTGCAGCAAAGGCAGTAGTGATGGTGTTCCACAACTGGGTGATTTTTTGAGTTTCGGTGATGTGGCGTTGAACGGCATCATAAGCTCTGGGTTTGGGAGCGCCCCCACCGGGGATCTGGCTGCTTAGAGGAGGGGCCTGATGGTGCAGGTGCCTCTGGAGCCGGATTGAAGCGCGTGTATTAAGCTGTTGCGGGGACTCAGGGTCTGGAGACCTCGTGTGCTGGGAGGTTGGAGACTCTGCCATCCTGACAAGCTCCTCCGCGGGTCGCGCGAGGGGCGAGGCGGACGTAGGAGATACTCCCGGGGTGCCCGCGATAACTTAGATCAGTTGCTGTGGTTTTTAGGGCCCCAGTGAAGGTTACCCAAAAATCGAAAGATTGGTGTTCGGTGGCCTCAACCTCGCGGCTGTACGCGCGCTTCAACGGCGAGAAGCAGCCAACGTCAAGTGGCTGCAGCAGGTGCGATGAGTGAGGCGGCATACAAAGAGTGTAGATGTTATTCTCCTTACAGAGCTCTTGAAACTCAAGAGAGTGGTGGCTCTCATGGCCGTCAAGGACGAGCAGGCGACGCGCGCTGACAACACAAGTCTTTGTATAAGCGTTAAAGTGCTTTAGCCACTCTACCCCTAGCTTGTTGTTGGTCCAGCTGTTGTCACTAACTGCGATCGCCCAGTCGCGTGGGATCTCTGCTTCCTTATACCAGGCAGATAGATGATACTGGCCAGCGAAGATGAGGAACAGCGGGACTGACCAGCCAGCAGCGTTAATAGCAGCAATTGCTGTCACCTATTCACGGTTGCCAGGCTGGAGAGCCTTTAGCCTGTCTCTCCTCTCTGATCCTGTCACAACGAGCTAAGTTGTGATCTTGCCTATTATAAAGCCAGCCTTGTCAAAGTTGTAGACGTCATTATCGCAGATGCTGTACTTGGCCTTTGTCTCCTCTACAAGCTCAAACTAGCTCCTGATTAGGGCTGGATCCTCGCATAGAGCTCGCTGCCTATCATACGCTCTATTGAAATACGTCGTGAGACTGTCTGTACGCTTGACAAAGTTGGCTGGCCACTTCTGCCCAACCTGGCCAGCGCTGCGCGCAGCGAGTAGCTTATCAGCCACATCACGTACGGCAGCGTACGTAGGCGCGAATCCACGTGTATCTAGGTCAATTATATGTCTAACAATCACTTATTCCTCTCGCTGGGTAAGCTTCTTTGAGTTGGGCTGGCAATCGCGTTGGGCAGGTTTCCCAGCGCGTTGGTCGCGCAGCGTTGATTCAGGAACGTTAAACGTTGATGCAGCACCTCTAACGTGCATTATTTAGGTAGTATTAATAGCTGAGATAGCAAGCTGAGTATCAGCTTCATTTTGAGGCAAAAGAGTACTTATTTGTGGTGGCATTATTAGAAGGTAGAGCGTTAAGAAAGTTGGTAGGGTGCGCGACTCGCTTGCCTGCGCGACTCGCTTGCCAGGCACGTTAGGGAGAAAGATAGACACATGCATGTGAACATTAGGGTGTATTAATACGGATGCAAGATATGTGCACCTTTCTAGTAGGTGTAGCACAGAGTGCTTCCCTGAGTATCCAACAAATCCCTAAGCTGAACAGTAGGCGCAAGCTTACCAAGGCCAACTTCAAAGTCAAGGGTGACATTTTTACCACTGTAGTCGAAAGGAATAATCGGGCCACCGACCTGGTGCAGGCGGGTTTTGAGATCCTTCTGTTGCCACATCCAGAAGATGTGGTCGATGTTGCCATGGTGGAGGTAGAATATTGGCTCGCCGGGGCTGTTGTTCGCATCACCAGCCTGTCCGAGAGCACCTCCAACACCGAAGTGACCGCTTCCGTGGATGTTGGGAACGGCGAAGCTAGCCTCGCCTTCAACGGCTCTGGCAAAACCAGTGTAGTCCTTCTGGGCGAGGACGTTGTTGACGAGCTTCTGATCGGCCCAGACGTTGATCAGAGTAGGGACGAAATCGCGCTTGAGACAGTGGGGAGTAGGGAAGTTGACTGAGAACTTGTCGGCTGTGAAAGGTCCATTTTGTACGCAACCACCTCCTGTTCCGCCAACGATGCCGAAGGGGTTTGTCTCATTAGTGGGTTCAACCTTGTTGCCGTTGCCACCGAACCCAGTGTCTGCTTGCCAGATCTCAGAGTCAAAGATGCGTGTTGAGGTGGGATTCTGAGGTTCAGCATCTAGAGACCAGTTCCAGTAGGGTTGAGCACCAGTGTAACCGCACTCTTGCCTAAGAGCCTTTTCATAGGTGTAGATGAAATAGCGGTGCCAGAGAGTGAAGTGACCGACCCAGTGGATGTCGGGAGTTTGGCTACTGTGTACGGCTTGGAAGTCGTCGAAACGGTTTATGGCTCCCTCGATGCCAGAGATGGCTGGCTTTGATGCTAGGCAGAGGACTGCATCAATATACGCCCTCTTCTGGGGAATAGAGAGTTGCTTCCTGCAGAAGGACAGTGGTCAGCAGAGTCCGAGATGTTTAATTCGTGTGATTGACTTACCATTCTTTTCGTACAATGGGGTTCTTGCACGTCTTTGGAGCAGAGGCAGGGAGAGCCGCGGCTACTGCTGACGAAGCCAAGTAGAGCGAAGAAACGAGAATGGAAAGGTTGACCATTTTGGCGGCTGAGGTTGAGATTGGCAGCTTTGTGTTTCGGATTGATTGAAGGCGAAAGCTTATTGTCCCTGGCTGGTGACTGTGACTGTCGAGGGCATCAAGCTTTATTTGTGCCTCACTGCAGGCCTTATCATACCCACTTTACCTGTCTGAGCCTCATCGAAAGATGACCATGCAACTAAATTCCGAGCCACGAAGGCATGAGTAACGAACGGAAATAAGTGTTGAAGGCAAGAACAGGGCATTGGACCACTTGCCGTAGTATTTGGGGCGAGATCCGGGTCTGGAAAAAGCTTGTATGCATGGCGATTCAGGAGAGATGCGGTCGTGTGGCACAGCTGCATGGTCTTTCAAGGTGCCCTGGGTCTGGAGGATTGAGTTCGGAGAATGCAACGCGTGCGAAGCGCTTCGATGTGCATATTCCGGTAGACGCACGCTTACCGGCGATTTTGGTAATAAGCCATGGCTTCTATGTGGCGCACATGCAACGGTGATTGGCCTGCGAGTATTCCATGCGCAGCTGTGTTACGGTGATGATATGACCAAACGCGTATTGATCTCCGTAGCAATAGCCTGCACAATTTTCGCATGGCTGGTGATTAGAGGATAGGATGATTTCGGATGATTGCGCCCGGTGGGCCGGTCTAGAGATTCCTGTAGGATTACCTCACATGGCTAAGAATGGATTGCCCGAGATCCTAGAGCATGGCATGTAAATGTTACCTCTCATGTGTGCTTCCTTCATTCATCTTGAATAACGCGTCGCAATAATCTTGAAATCTGATCGGCTGAAATCAAACTCCCCTGCGCCGCTCTGGTTGGCAATGCAGAAGGTGAGGCTGCGAGATTTTTGTCGCGGGGACAGAAGAGCTTGCGGGGCAGGTTGACCCGCTTTCGCGCTAAGATCCTGCTGGTTTCTGGGCCGTGTCTAACGTTCTAAACCAGCGATTGACGGGTACTCGGGTGCCAATAAAAGCCGCACACCCTATAGTCAAAGCCCTAGCAAAAGTTCAGGAACACCACCACCCATAGCGATCTTCCAGGTTATCTTACTCAACACAAACAAGATTCGAGAGCCTACAAAAATACAGTCTTGTAGAGAATAATCTTCTCTATAAATCTGTCTTTTTAGAATTTTATTCGGGCTATTGTTGTGGGTTTACGTGGAGGAGGTAGTTTGGGTGTGCGACTTTTATTGTCACCCGAGGTGACGGGAAAACACAGGGTCAACTGTGGCAAATAGGATGAGATGCGAGGAGAGGCAAACACGGCACATAGCTCCTGCGGGATCATGGCGCGGTGGACACCGGAGCGTTCCTTTATTGCGGAGCTGTCGGCCCACCAAATATGCGTTCTTCGACCGCGAAGCCATACTCTGATTTCCGGCATCCTACAGCATGGTGATGCGCTAACGCACATACGACTAACCACTCAAGACTTCGAAGAAGTTCCTCCTATCTTCACGCGGAATATCGAGTCTAAGAGCTCACTTTATTCGTCCGGGTACTGGCTTGGCTGGGGAACGGGGGAGTTGTCGAGCCGTCCAGGCGAAAACCGAGGGAAACTATAGTAGACCGTTCAAAGCAAAGAGCCGCACCAACTCCAACCACGATGACTGCACCGAACGCGCGAATCCTTCGCCCTTCCTCGGCGTTTAGCTCGTGTTGCTTATCCAATGATGGCTCGGAGATGCCAGCCGTCCCCAGGAGACTTTACTCACGCATTTGCGGTCCTGTTGGACACATGGCAGGATAATAAGAAGAAGGATTCACAAGATGAAGCTGCCCAAAGTGCTGGATCATGATGTTATGCGGCGCGGAGGGTCAAGCTTCAAGGAGGAGCAAGAATTATTCATAGCCCAGAGGTTGCCATGATCTCTTTGTGAATCCCGTGATTCGAATGTGAGTGTATTCCTACAGTATGACAACCAGCACGCGTGGCTATGGTATCACCTGGGACAATGGTTCGCGACAGCCTATGTTTCTGATCGTCACTGGAGTTCTCCTATTGTTCTCGACAATCGCTGCAGCGCTAAGGTACGATCTTTCGGAACCTTGATTTACTTACTCACCGCAAGACTTGCTCACTATCTGCTAGGCTGTACTGTCGCCTCACCTTCATACGATATGTAGGATTAGACGACAAGTTCATGATATGTGCGTGGGTGATCGCTATCTCACTCGGTATTCAGAATGGTTTTCTTGTCAGCTGGGGAACTGGGTATGTATACCCGTAGTAGAAAAACTGACGGCGACTGACGGAAGACGAAGGCGACACAATGCCGATTTAGATCATTCGATCATTCTGGTCCCTACGTTCAAGCACTGGTATGCATATCAGCTAGTTTACCCTTGGGCGTTGCTATTCGTCAAAGCTAGCATACTGGCACTCTACTACCGGATCTTCACACAAACGAATTTTCGCTACGCTGTATACGCCGTTAGTATATTCGTCACTGTTCAGACCATCGTAGTCACTTTCGTCAACGTATGTCATACGCGAAACCCCAGCATTCCCCCGAGCTCGAAGCTGACTGATCCAGGCTTTCGAATGCGGTGCGAAAGAGCCATGGAGAGCATGGGTCCCTACCTTTCCCAAAGGATGCAACGACCTTCCTAGGACGTATTTCGCGATGGCCTCTGTCAACATCCTCACAGATATCTTCATCCTAGCCATGCCAATGCGAGCTTTCGGACAGCTAAAACTTCAACGAACAAAGCGCATTGCACTCCTCGGTGTCTTCATGGTCGGAGGTGTAGCAGTTATCGCATCCATTGTCCGTCTCTACGCCCTCTGGGTATACGCTGTAACAGAAGACCCACCCTACGACGACATATTTATCCTCCTTCTTTCCCAAATCGAGATAAACGCTGCTATAATATCCGCTTCAGCACCCGCCCTCCGCCCTCTCCTCAACAAAGCCTTTACTTCGTCCTCGCACGACCGCTCTGGCCCAGGCTACCCAGCTTCTTACGCACCTGGCGGCCAAAACAGCAAGATGTTTAGTCGCACAGCTAGAGCACGTTCGAACGGACAAATGGAGCTCTACACGTTCAATGGGGGCAATGGGACTATCAAGGTACCAGTAGGCGGTACGCGCAATACGAGCGAGGAATCGATATTGGGTGTGGAAGGTATTACAAAGACCGTGGACATGACAATCGAAGAAGACTATGTGAGGGAGTCAGTACATGGGAAGAGTGGAGAGACGCAGGGGTATGACGGTATAAGACATAGCGATGTATGAATTGAGTAGACAAAGTTTCACTAACCTAGACAGAGGCGATGTAGCTGTAGCTGCTTCCTTAAAACCAATTCGTTCACGGTTAATTCCCATTGCAGCTAAAAAACTAACAATAATGCTGTCTATAACCTTGCCTTTTAGCTTGTGATTAAGTAGGGCGATACAAAGCTAAAGGCACGCTTGCTGCCATTCCACACTTGCAAAGGCTGCAGCCAACGCTGTGTGGGCACAGGCAGTAGCAGCAGACAGAGGAGGGCTATTCCCAAAAGCTTCGCCTACTGCAACTGTGAGTTCACTATATAGCTCTTCTTACTTAAAAAAGAGACTGCTTATATTTAAAGGTATAGAAGACAGTAAACCCAAAGGGTTGGAAGCAAATTTAAGCTAGCTATCTGTGCTTGCAGGTCCTGCTGCTAGTTGTTCCTCTTCCACTAAACGTTAGTTGTAGCGTCTTTGCCCACGCTCACGCACTAATTGTTGCAAATAGCTAAAGGATGGTGATAAAACTAGAAACAATGGAGTAGGACAGGCAGCAGTGCTAACTGGACTAGATGCGTTCAGGCTAGATAAAAGTAGGAATAGTGGCAGCGGCAACAAGCTGTCTAACAACATAGCACTGTAAGGTGGTGTTTGCAGCTAACTTAGTAACAGATTAACTAACTAGTCCTGGCAAGTGGGGGAGCTTGCAGAAATAGTAGTAATGCAGTGTAGAGCCTATTGCTAGGTGAGAGTTGGTACTATGTAGTGAGGGTCAGGGCCTTGTCGCAAGATAGCTAGGCGGTAGACAGAGATAAGCAGTTAGTGCTAGTAAGTCTTGTAGCGTTTATAGCTATATTTAAGGAGCTTAGTCTAAAGAGGCTTCTTGTAATGTTAGCTAGGTATAAAGCTGTTCACCTGCTAGAGGGCAAAGATATTGACCTCTTTATCTAGGGTTAACTGCTGTGCCTGATTAATTAACTCATTAAATGCTTGCAGCAGGGCTCTCAGGCCAGGTTCAGAGACGATTGGACGAGCAAGTAGACGGCCAACAGCACGCAAGTCCTTCCCTTCTAGATACACTGGCCAACCTGTCTTTTCGAGCTATCTGCTCATGTGAAGAGGGTACTAGGCGGTCGTGCCTGAGGCTACTAGCGTCTGACAGGTGTTGCTGGCGTGTAACGTATCAAGCTCTGCCTCCAGCTGCTCCCAGCTCTTGTCCCATGCCGCCTTCACTGGAGCTTTGGCAGCGGCCTAAGGCTGGCCCTCATCAACAGCCACTCAGAAAAGCTTAGCTCTAACTCGAGTCTGTCTTAGGCGCTGGCAGGGTACGCCAGCTTCCTATGGCCATTTGTGCGTCCCTACGTTAATAGGAGGATAGCCTCGCTTAACAGGATTAACCTATCTATATTTATAGCAGCAGTGCTTAGCTATGACAGTGTGACTCTGCTGCAAGACAGCACATTAGGTGCCTGTTTTAGGATTGCAGAAAGTACAGTAACAAGTGTAGTAGACTGGCAAGACTAGGAGAGGAGGCGGGTAAGGAGGGTGAGTTAGATAAGGCTATGTCTTTAGATTATTAGCAGTAATAAGAAGAACTAGCTAGGTAGGGAGGCAAAGTTTAACCTAGGTATTAAGACGCTGATTCACATTGCGCGCCTAGTAGTTATAAACCTTTAAGGTACTAAATTAGACAGGGACTGTAGTAAGGGTACTACAACAAGACAAGTCTTGCACGCAAGGAATAGATGTAAGTAATGTTTAATATAGACAACTAGGTCCTAGAAGCAGACAGCTCTGTTATATTAGGTAGAGGGTTATAGTGTAGACGCAGAAGTAAGCATAGCGCTACAGGTACAAGAAACTTAAGAGCTTAAGTGTCATTGTTATTGTTGCTGCTAGTCCACAGATAAATGTAAAGTTATAAGACTTTGTTCTTATAATCTTTATCTAGCGTATTTCCCTTTTCGGTATAGCGCTATGCTTACCTAAGCATTGCTATTGTAATGTCCAAGAAGAGAGGATTAGAATGGTGTGCTTACAAAGCCTGTATCTCCTCTCGTTCTTAAGATATGCTGTTCTCTATTTTCAGTAACTAGAAATGTTCTAGACCCTCTGCTTACAAATAGAGTAGCCTACTCTGTGAGATGCTGACGTATAC